ACATCTTTTAATATTGTCAGATCATTGATTTGTTTGGCATGGATTATTTTTTTTATTTGTGCATTTGGGGGTGGAGTTTTCTTTATAATAGAGAAATGTTTCATACAGTAAATCATGAATTGATGCAGAAAATATATGCAATTAATCACTAAAATCTCTTTGTATGCTTTTCCATTTTAGCCTATGAATCAATTTTGCACGAGGGGATAGAAGAGCAGATCGAGGTGGAGATGAAAGGTATTGTCATAATGAATGTGAGATTTAAGTAGAAATTCTGAAGGATTAATAGAATCCTTGAGCTGCCTTCTTTTACTTAGCACTATTGAGAAAAATGACAGATGTACAACTATATCTCTTAGAGTATATATTAATATGTCGCATGCCTGATTTAGTATGCTGATGGTTACATGCATTTCACGGTAACTGTTTTATGATAACTTAAAGTTTTGTATTTAAAATTTGTCAGCCATATTCAACTTTATATTTGCAACCATTTTCAAAAGCCTGTCTTAGAAAGAGTTGTCATCTCAATGCATGGAATCTTGACATAGAAGTTTGTTATCAAAATCACAGTGAATTGAAATGAACAATAGACAATAACCTAGCTGTCATTCTCAGAATGCAGTATTATGAATGAATTAAGATTGAAATGCAATTTTATTTAGGGTGTGTGAAAATGTTACATTCCCATTCTGGTTTACACTTCATTCACATAGATCATTTTAACATTGATATGTCTCTTACACTGGCTTGCAGATAGCTGTCTTATGTGATCCATACTGCCTGCTTTTCTTTGAATAACATCGTGAGTCTATAGCTGTATTAGTTCGAATAAACGCCTTCTCATTTTATTTTAGCTAATTATTTCTTATTATAGTTTTTGCATATATTTTCAAATAGTTAATTCCCCAAAATATAATAATTTTAACCTACAACCAAAAGGATCAGAAAGGGCGTTTATTCCACTCTCTGCAAGTCAGGTAAGATTTTTCTCTTCGCCATTAAAAAAAAAAGTTTTCCTGCTCTCAAAACAAATATGCACAGGAACATGTTGTTTTGAAATGCATTTTTGCTTGTTCAAGAAGAAATTTCAGCAGTTTGAAGAAAAGACCAGACAACGAACGATTTTCGTGTCAGAATCTTTTAAACAGAGCATGATGTTGCGTTTATTCGAACAAATATGGTGAGTGAATTTTTTTATGGATTTGTGAGAATCTGTAGCATGCACTTATTTCCTATTTTGCAATTTCATTTATTTTCAACTTTTCCAATACAATGGAAAATAGTAAAATACTTTATAATTTACTTTTTCCCCAGAATTATTCTCCCAGAGGGAACCTGAACATTCAGAGATGGATACACGTGATGCCTTTTCAGATTCTGAAGACATAGACCACGGCTCCAGGGCTGCAAAGAGATATGCAAGTAGAATATCATCTACAAGCTCCTGGCCTGACTATTTCAAGCCTTCTTTCACCCAAAAACTTATATTTCAATATGTTCCAGAGGGCGAGCCAGCTGTTTTTGCATGTCAATTAATCGCCTGTCCAACTCCAGAGATGACTTGGTTTCATAACAATAGGCCTATCCCAACAGGTCTTCGTAGGGTGATAAAAACTGAGAGTGATTTGCATCATCACTCTTCTAGCTTAGAGGTTAAAAGGGTCCAAAATAGAGATTCTGGAAGTTACAGATTATTAGCAGTTAACAGTGAAGGGTTAGCTGAGTCAACTGCATCACTGCTTGTTATCCAAAAAGGGCAAGATGAGAAATATTTAGAATTTCTACAAAGGGCAGAACAGACACATGAAAATGTGGAGGATTTAGCTGAAAGCAGAGAAGATAGAATTAAGGTTGACCTAAGGTTTACTGGCTCTCCCTTTAACAAAAGACAAGATGCAGAACAAAAGGGAATGATACGAACTATACACTTTAAGACACTGAGTCCTGGCAAGAAAATGGATTTTATGTATGATGAAGAATGTTTAGAGAGTAAATCTGATGTAAGAGAATGGTTTAATGTAGGTGAAAGTTTCCTGGACAAGGAGACCAAAATGAAATTGCAACGTTTACGGGAGGCCAGAAGAACTTTAATGGAGAAAAAGAAATTATCTCTTTTAGAAATGTCATCTAAAACAAACACAAGAACTTTAGCAAGTGAAACTAGTGACAAAGATATTCCATTCTCTAGTGAAGAAATACAAAGCAGATCTGTGTCTGATTTAGCAGACAATAAGGTAAATAATTCAACTGAGGGTATTGCCCAGAATCCACACGATGTTTCTAATCAAATGAATCAGAACGTACAACCTAGAGAACCTTCCATCAGCTTTCAGACTACTGTTGATGAAGAAATTTTCCAGACCAAAATAAGAATGAGCCAAGAGGTATTTCTACAAGAAAGTCTGCCAGAAGACCATTTGTGTAGTAGGGTTGTAGAAAATGAAAATACGCAAGTCAGAGAACAACTGGAAGAAATTATGACTAAAACTGGAATTGGAGAGTCATCTGTATCTATGACTAATGTACATAAGAATGAGGAAATGTGTGAGACTGCTGAAGTTATGATACCACATGGCAGTGAATCCTTTGGTACACTTGTAAACATTAAAGCAAATGAAATCGAAAGTGAAAACACAAGAAAGGATGATTTGAGAGAATCTCAATACGCAAAAGTTGATGAATTCAAAACTGAACAGGAAAAATCCACAAAATTTTTTGAAAATTCTTCTCAAAGACGTCCACAGCGTTGCCCCCCTTCATTTCTTCAAGAAATTGAATCTCAAGAAGTTTATGAAGGTGACAGTTGTGAATTTGTATGTCATTTCCAAGGATATCCTCAACCCATCGTGATGTGGTATAACAATGATATACCAATCCCACATAATCGAGGCTTTATCATGCTGCAAACCTTGGAAAACTGTACAACATTAACTTTTTCTTCCGTTCTTCTTCAAAATGAAGGTTCTATTGCCTGTGTGCTGTTTAACCAATATGGAACAGTAAAAACAACTGGCATACTTAAAGTGAAAGCAAAGGAAAGATATGATGCCAAACCACACAAAGTCCCAGTGTTACATGATTATACTGATGAAGAAGAGGAGCTGGCATTGGTGTTTGACCAAGCAGAAGGTGTTCATCCATCTTTGAGACAAGAGGGCCAATGGAATCTCCCAGTTTTAGAGACTGATCCATTTCCTCCATCTGCAGACACAGAACTGCTTTCTTTTCCTGTGGAAATTCAGATAACAGCAGCTACTCCTACCCCAGAACAAGATAAAGAGTCAAGAGAAATGTTTCAACCTGTTGAGTTGGAGCCTGAAGCCACACCTCGAGATCAGGCTGCTCATTCACCAAAACACAAATTTATATTTTCATCTGAAATTACTAATGAGCCTCCAAAAATGTTACAGGAAATGCCAAAGCATGTTAGGTGTCAAGAAGGGGATTCTATAGTACTTGAATGTTTAGTATCTGGTGAGCCTCAGCCAGTTGTAACATGGTTTCAAAACGGAGTCTTTTTACAGCAGAGCCAGAAGTTTCACTTTGAAGAAGTTGATTGTAGCCACAGGTTGTATATTAATGATGTTCATTTGCATGATTCTGGGGAATACTTATGTGTCGCTGAAAACAATTCGGGAATAGCTGAGAGTGTTTCAGATCTAACAGTAGAACCCGTGGCTCCCAGGGAATTAGACAATATTTCTGGAATTTACCCAAAGTTCTCCAAAGATCAGCAACTACACATTCAGGGGGAATCTGTAAGAGCACATTTTTATGATTATCCAACTGGTGCTTTTACTCCTCGAATGAAGATGAAAGAATATTCTGTAAGGGAGTCTTTTCAAAGCCTGGAAACAATTGAGCACAGAGACCAGAAAGACCAGGTGCATTACACATCTTCTAGTGAGAAACTACCAAGATTTTTGCAGGGTACTTCAAGATCCATAAATATCGACAAGCCTCTCAGGGCTGAACTTGAACGCCAGGATGAAGGGAAGGAGGCCCATGTAGGCGAACTAACAAAGTTGCACCGAGAAAAGGGTACTGTTTATCCATTTGTTGATGATTTCAGTGAAGTTAAAATTAGGAAAGAAACAGGAAATGATTCTGCCAAACTTGGTGGATCAGAGAAGGAAAATGTCCAAGCACATGCCCAAAGTGACTATTTCTCAAATGGTCACTTTGAGAGAACTGATAGTTACATGACAAAAGACTCCTCTATGATTGCATATGAAGAACCATTTGATGAAGAGAGATACTACCCAGGAAAGAAGGTGAAGCATAGGATCATTGCATTTGAAAAGTTGCAACACGCAGAAAAAGGACTTCTAGGAAAAAGACCCACAAAGGAATCATTTGTTAATACTCCTCAAAGAAAACTTGATAATAGAGAATCTCCATTAAAGCAAAGAGAAGCTCCGTCAAGTGATACTTTCTGTGACCCGAATGTAAATATGCACCAAGCAGAGAAAATGCCTCCAAAAGCTGAACCAGATTCATCTAACGTCGTAATGAATTTAAAACTGCTTTCTTCTCAAACCCATGAGGAATTTGAAGGACAGGAGAGAGAACAACAGAAAGAAAGAGATTTTATAGATCAATCTGTACCTTTTGAAAGGGCTGAACCTGAAACACCTATTACATTTGACCTAAAACAGTTTCAGTCTCAAACAGAAAATGCAGATGTAAAACTCCAAGAATTTGAAAATGATCAATCAGAAGCAGCTTATTTTGAAATAAAACATCCTGCCTCTGAAGAAACTGATACTGAGAACATTGTATTTGAACTAAAACAAATGTATTCTCACCTAAGAGATCCAGCTAAGGAACTGGAGCAGCAAGAAACAAGGCAACAGGAGGAAACACATTATAAAGAAAAAATCTCTAACCTTGAAACATTACAACCTGATATAGAGACTACCTCCACAAATGTGCAAACTGGCGAATTTACTAATCAAGAAATTTATTCCAGTCAGGAGTTCTCAAATAGGAATTTGATGGAGAAAAGAAGTATTGATGAAAATACCTTTTGTTTGGAAAAAGAAGCCCTACATGCACAGGAACAAAATTTAGAAATTGGGAAAACTGATCTTTCTCTTAAATCTATTTCTGAAGAAATTCGTAGTGAATCATATGCCCTACATCCCACTTCATCTGCAGATGTAGGAGGCAGTGATATTTCTGAGAAAAATATTTCTCCAGAAAATGGAGATAGAAGTTTCATTTCACATTTGAAAAAGGCAGCAAGTGAGGAAAAGCTTCCAGAGGTTTGTGAAATGGAGGAAGAAGATACTTTGGAACCAGAATCAGTGTCATTTAAGGGGCAGGATGGTGGGGCACAAGGATATGCAAATGGCATTTCAGATGAACATAAAGGTGATGTCCAGGAAGCTGACACCCTCCACAGAAAAGTCTCTCTGAGCCAGTGCTTCCCATTCCTGATGTCTGAAGAACACCAGACTCCAAATGAACAAATAAGTGAAAAATCAGATGGCTCCGGAGAGGAAAAATGTTCTGAAGAAATTCAAGTTCAAAACGAAACCTCTTTCTCCACAACTGCAGAAGAAAAGATAGAAACTTGTTTTTCTGAAAATCTTCCAAAATTGGATGAGGCATATACAGCTGAAATAACGGAATCTGAGACCTCCCTAACACAATACTTACTTGCTGCTGGAAAGAATCAGGTTCCTGTGACTAAAGCCACCAAACAAAAGGCAAAACCTGTTCAGAGTGAATCAGTCACCTCAATGGAGGTTGAAGAAGTAACTTTCAACACTGTGTATGAATATTACACCCAACAACAGGAATCACTAGGTCGTCCAATTTCTCCTGAATCTGATGTTTCAATTGATGTGGGAAGTACAAGCAGTGAAGATCTCTCTGAGCTGGATCAGTTTTATACTCCACCATCATCAGTAGAACATTTCGAATCTCCAAAACCACCTGATTTACATATTCCTCCTTCAGATACAACTAAGCAAGCCTCAACTATTTCAGAAGGTGAGAATGTTGAAAGATACTGTACACCTTCAGAGGAAGCTGCTGAAAGATACTCAACACCTTCCGAAGGTGAGGTAGCAGAAAGATACTCCACGCCACCAGGAGAAGCATTAGAGAGATATTCTACACCCCCAGGGGAAGCACTAGAGAGATACTGTACACCCCCAGGGGAGACACTGGAGAGATATTCCACACCTCCAGGAGAGACACTAGAGAGATATTCTACCCCTTCAGGAGGAGAAACAGTTGCAAGATATGCTATTCCTTCCAGAAGACCAAACCCCAATGGGAAATTTGAAGGGGACTTATCAAAAATGCAACGGGAAGACAGTACACCAAATGAGCTTTTCCATACACCTACGGAGGAGAGAAGTTCAGCTAGTGACATATGGCGTTCTGATTCATTTGGCACACCCAATGAAGCCATTGAGCCAAAAGATAACGAAATGCCACCATCGTTTATTGAACCTCTGACAAAAAGGAAGATATATGAAAACACAACATTAGGGTTCATTGTTGAAGTGGAGGGCCTTCCAGTTCCTGGTGTGAAATGGTATAGAAATAAATCTTTGCTAGAGGCAGATGAAAGAATCAAAATAGAAAGGGTGGGTAATGTGTGTTCTTTGGAAATTTCTAACATTCAAAAAGGAGACCAGGGAGAGTACATGTGCCATGCTGTAAACATCATTGGGGAAGCCAAGAGCTTTGCAAATGTAGACATCATGCCCCAGGAAGAAAGAGCAGTGGCCCTGCCGCCTCCAGTAACACATCAGCATGTCATGGAGTTTGACTTGGAAAATACAACGTCATCAAGAACACCTTCTCCTCAAGAAATTGTCCTGGAAGTTGAATTAAGTGAAAAAGATGTTAAAGAATTTGAGAAGCAGGTGAAAATAGTCACAGTTCCCGAATTTACTCCAGATCATAAAAGCATGATTGTGAGTCTAGATGTTGTTCCATCAAATTTAGTAGATCCAAATATGGCTTCAAGCAGGGAAGAAGACAGAGATTTAAAAATTGATTTAGAAGTATTTGAAATGCCCCCTCGCTTTATAATGCCTATTTGTGATTTTAGAATTCCAGAAAATGCAGATGCTGTATTCAAATGTTCAGTCATAGGTATCCCTACTCCAGAAGTCAAATGGTATAAAGAGTATATGTGTATTGAGCCAGATAATGTTAAATATGTGATTAGTGAGGAGAAGGGAAGTCACACCCTGAGAATTCGAAACGTGGATCTTTCAGACAGTGCAACATACAGGTGTAGAGCTGTGAATTCTGTGGGAGAGGCTATTTGCCGGGGATTCCTCACCATGGGAGATTCTGAGATATTTGCTATGATCACAAAGAAAAGTAAAGTGACTTTAAGCAGTCTGAGGGAAGAATTGGTACTGAGGAGCAAATATTCAGGCAGCTTTTTTGAATTTCAAGTGGTGGAAGGGCCTCCCAGATTTATCAAAGGTATTTCTGACTGTTATGCACCATTGGGAACTGCAGCTTATTTCCAATGTTTAGTTCGTGGCTCTCCCAGGCCCACAGTTTACTGGTACAAAGATGGGAAACTGGTTCAAGGAGCAAGGTTCAGTTCTGAGGAAAGTGGCATAGGATTCCACAATCTATTTATAACAAGTCTAGTAAAAACGGATGAAGGTGAGTACAGATGTGTAGCCACGAACAAATCAGGAATGGCTGAGACTTATGCCTCACTTACTCTAATCTAGAGTTTCCTGTGTAATGGTCTAGTGCCTCCATAACTTCTAGCATTAATTTGAGTACTTTCATGTTTTCCAAATTATAAGGATCTAATAAACTTCTAAATACTTCTACTCTATTGGATCAATTACATTGAAAACCCCTGGGGAATTAGTTTCTCTGTAGAAATCTCATCTTTGTAATACATGTAAATATTCTGTATTGAGACTGTGGAATCATCACTTGTGTCAATTATGTTATGAGTCATCAAGAACAATTAAACATCTCCGTGGCTACCTGATTGTCTGTACCTCTAATTTACTCTCGTTCCTCCTTCACAAAGTTGTTTCAGCAGAATGGATTTTCTTGTGGCCAATAACCTATATTTGCAAAAATAGAATGTAAAATTGAAGACCATGTCAGAAGGCCACACAGGCAAATTGTAAAAGGAAATCTCTCTGATTATAACTTACTTTTGGAATTTTAACATTTTGCATTCATATCCATGTTTATTTACTTAAACTTAGAATAGACCAAAAAAAAAAGTCTAGTTAGCAACTAATTTTAGAATGTGTTGCATTGTAATCTTAATATACTATTTTTGGCTCTTTCAAAAATCTTTCATTATTAATCTCCTTTCTTAAATGTTTGAACTCTTGCTGAGTTTGAAGGGACCAATGGTGCTCTCTTTGTAGACAGAGTTCATCTAGTCATTTGCAGAATATGCAAATAAAGATCTTTCGACTTTTGGAAATACCTAATTTTCTCAATTTTTGAGATGACATCAATTGGAAAATATATTTATACATAAATTTTAAATTGTTTCAATTTCAGAATCTTTAATATTAGGAAAAAGAAAGGACATTTTTAGAATTGAGGCAATATGGTAATTTATATTGTAGATTATGGACAGATAATAAGATCATAAACTTCCCTGTCATTTTCACTGAATTTCATTATTAAAATGCACAAGAAATTAAAAAGTTGAATATAATAAAATTTAAGATGTATATATTTTTCTAAAGTGACTCTACTTTGTTTTTAAAATTAAAATAATAAATTCACAAAATTCTTAGCATTGTGCTATCAATGTGGACCTAACTCTACTCACATAAGATGTAATAAATACATAAAATTCCGTTTTTGTGTCTAAAAATGAGGGAGTTGGACCAAAAAACCTCAGAGGTGTTTATTTCAACCCTAGGAGTCTATGTCATCCTGGTGATAACTTTTTAAAATATAACTGAGACTAAATTTTAGTTTTGTAACAGACAATACAAGTATTAGCATATAATAATGAAATTATAAATCTTACTCCCATCCAATTAATATTTGTCACCTGCATTGAATAAAATTTTAGTGCTATGATCATAATAAACATACTAATTTTAGTTTTCAACAAAAAAATTCATATATCCTATTGTGTTTATTAGGAGCTCTGGTAGCATAGTGGCTAAAGCACTTGACTGCTAACCAGAAGGCTGGTGGTTCAAACCCACCAGCCACTCCTCAGAAGGAAGGTTGGGCAATCCTACTTCCGTAGTGATACTGCCTCGGAAACCCAAGGAGGGGTTGCTATGAGTCGGGGCCGACTCGACGGCACATAACAACAACAACAACATTGTGTTTATTGTATTTCTTACATCTATAAATTTTATAAGGAACTCTGGTGGCATAGTGCCTAAGGCATATTCCCACAATAGTTGTTCCCTAACAAATTTGCAAATTAAAGAAGCAATTGGGAAAATATACAGGCTTTAGACAGTACAGTCAGGCTTACCCTCTCTTCTCCAAAAAAAATAAATAAATAAAACATTTGATTTACACCATAACTCATCAAGACAGATACACCGTATTTGGAAAATCATTTCTATCTCAACCAGTAAGCAATTGTGTAGACAGACAATATAGAAATATATATATAAATAATTAGAGATATGATATAATATATCACATCATAAATCCTTGCAATAAAGCTGATTTTATAGTTTAGGGACTTAAAGATTTATTCTACTCTTAGTCATATAATAGATGTTTAAGTAAGTTAAAAATTCAGATCATGACAAACATGACAAGTACACTTCACTCAAGCGCTACACAGCACAGCAACAGTTCAAAACTTGTTCTGTACAAAAAGAAAGAAAAGCTTTAATGCCCTGTTAAATTAACAGAAAGGCTGGGAAATATACTTTTGTTTGTATAAGAAGGGGAACTTTATGTGAGTTTGACCATTAGAATTCCGTTAGTCTGAAATGCATTGAATTTGAGGATGTGCAGAATAACAATGACTGAACAAAGAAAAATAAGTCTTGCCCATATTTGGCTTATGTATTAATGGATGTAGATTGATTAATTGGGAGTTTTTATTTTCTAGCTCAATGGCATGTAACTTAAAAGTCTAAAATATTAATTTCTCTGACAATGGATAGAGAGCTCATTTTATTACACAGAGTAGGGTTTAGACATAATTTTTAGCACTGCTACATGATTTTAACTATACCTTTCATCTTGCAGTAATGTTTCATTTACTATCTTTTTTATGGCTACTGTATACTATGTTTAGAAGTAATGAAAAACAACTGAAAATATTTAAACATTTAAATGACTTTGGGTATTTTAACTATATTCATTCCCTTTACAGATATTTTGGTAGTTCAAGTGATGGAAAAGCTGACATGAGTAATATAGATCAAATAGAAATTAAGTGGTCATCATTAGTATATGAAATGAATCAATGGTTTTAGGACTTATTAATTTAAATAATAAATGAGTATATATTTACGTACTAAAGATAACTTACACCAGTATGTGTATAGCCAACAGATTCTAGGGTCTTGCTAACTAACTCTTCCACATTAGAACAGAAAAGAATTAAGGTTGAAGACTATTCCACGTGTACAAGTGGAGTGAACTAATAAAATAATAAAACTTTTTTGATAATGTAGTAAAACTATTAACAGTTGTGCTACATATCTAACAAGTTTAATGAAAAAAAATCTTAATTCCTTGGTATCACATTATGTGTATCTTTCATCCTTTTATCCATGGTACTGTTCAAAGAATTACTCACTACTTTTTCTGTCCAATAATGCTGCATAGGTTTTTCTTGCACAATAAAATATAATCATATTTTTATGTTGCAGTTGTTCTCTCTTATTTCTGATTCTCCCACTTTCTTGAATAGCTTGACTTAATATAAGCCTTATTATAAGAGTTTTATAAGAGTTATATGGGAATTTACAGAGAAAAGGAACACCTGCATTTCTAACAACTAGAAAATGGGTTTTCTTATAAGTACAAATTAAACATTTCCTGTGCCTCCCTATTTTTAGTAATAGCTTCTATTTAGAAGCAGTAACTAGAGCATAGATATTTCCTTTTTGAAAATACTCAGTCTTTAATTTGACAATGAAGATTATTCTTAAACTCAAAGAAATCCTAAATATAGTAATTCCAGGTCTTTCCAGAAACTGATTGAAATAATCCTGGATGATTTTATTATAAACATTTAGCCAGTGATTTTTTTCAAACTTTGAAGTTGAAATTATATCACAAAGGAGAATTCCCATAAGCATATATTTAAAATGTATAAATGCTAACCCAAATGAAATGGAAAAAAATATATTTGTACAGTATCTATAGTTTTATATAATAAGCTAAGGCTAAAATTTGGAAATGTACATTTTGATCAGTTAACCTCAGAACAATTTAACAATTTCAGGAATAAAGTGGAAGGCCAACAAACAGTATACAATTATTTTAACTTTGATTTTTTAAAATTTATTTTGTTAAGACAGTTTTCTAGTGAAATAATCATCATTTTTTCCCCATACAGAGTGTTCTAATTCTCTTCTGTCTGCTGAGGAAGAAAGATTCCAAAGCTATAGCTGTGACCTTCAGTTATCTAACAGGAGTGAAACACTTGAACTTTTGTCTGAACCTCCAGTTCATTCAATTAAATTCAATTCCAAACATGAAGGCAGTGCCCCAGTTTTCATCAGAGAAGTATCAAATGTTGAAATAAGCATTGGGAATGTGGCCAAACTGTCAGTTACGGTCACTGGCATTCCCAAGCCTAAAGTTCAATGGTTCTTCAATGGAGTCATGTTAACCCCTTCTGCTGACTACAAATTTGTTTTTGACTGTAATGATCATGCACTGATCATTCTGTTCACTAAGTTTGAGAATGAGGGAGAGTATACATGTGTTGCCTGTAATGAATATGGAAAGGCAGTGTGTAGTGCCTATCTGAAAATAAATTCCAAAGAAGAGGGACACAAGGAGACAGACACAGAATTAGCAGTGGAGAAGCCACTGGAAAAGCTTAAAGCTCCTTCCCCTCCTTACTTCCTTAAAGAGTTGAAATCAATTCAGTGTACTCAAGGGCTCCCTGCCATCTTTGAGTACATGGTGCTTGGAGAGCCTGCACCCACCGTTTTGTGGTTCAAAGACAATAATCAGCTTTGCACTAATATTTATTATACTGTCATTCATAATTCTGATGGCTCTGGGACGTTCATTGTCAATGACCCTCACAAGGAAGACAGTGGCGTCTATGTCTGTAAAGCAGAGAATGTGTGGGGTGAGTCCACTAGTGCCGCAGAGCTGCTGGTGATTGTGGCAGACACAGACGTGACTGAATCCCCCAGCAAAGCGAAGTCCACACCAGGGGCTCCTATAGAAGCGGGCATTTCTCAAATAGATTTTCCACAGATGACATCGTTAAAGGAACTTCCCATTGAGGCCTTTGACTCAGAACAGGAAATTGCAACTTACGTAAAGGATACCATTCTGAAAGCTGCTTTTCTTATAGAAGAAAAGCAGCAGCTTTCTTATGAGCATATAGTTAAAACCAGTGAACTGAACAGCCAAGCTACTTTAGAAACGCAGCAGTTGCGATCCACAGTCATGGTGAGGCAGGATGTGACCACTCCTGAAAGTACCAGTGAACTTCTTTGTACTGATGGCACTGTTCTCATTCAGCCTATCAAGGAACCACCTCCTCATTTACAGCTGCAAACTGTCCAGT